CCCCACCCCCACACACACGCATTGGCATTCCCAAGTTCACCTATTCAGCTTTTGTGCCGAAGCAATGAAAGCGGTGCTTCGACAGCATCCTGTAATGTTGATGTGAGTTCAGGAGCTCCGCTCAGACACAAGTCATGCTTCGCAGCCATCTTGTGGTATCTCGGTGCCAAGGAACTACGTTGAAGTGAGTTAGGAGCTTCACTTTGTCAGAAGTAGCGATTTACTTTGTGGGATCTTGGTGCTAAGAAACAACATTGAAGTGAGCTGAGGAGCCCCATTCGGACAAAAATAGTGTTTTGCCGCCGCCATTTTGAATGACCCGTTGAGGATACATTCATCCAATTCATGGAACAAATATTCCAATTGATGGCAGAACTCTTGATCAGCGCAAAGCCTCACGCAGCATCCATGCCACACGCGACCATACAGAGCCGAACGTTGTCCCCTTTCCCCCTCGTGGTCTCCTTTCACCTGCAGCCCTTTGCTGCGGTTGCCCCCTTCGTGCCTCCCCTGCGACCTCGTCGGCGTGCTTTCGGCCACGAGCTGATTCAATGAGCACAGCTGGGACCCCGCAACACACACACACACACACCACCCGCCAGAGCGCCGCTGTCCTTTCACGGACCTCGTCTCACCGTCCTCATCTTGTGCTTGACAAGTGTGACGGATGAAGTGTGCGCAAGGTGCAGATGAAGTATTGGAAACATTTCAAACGCAAATTAATCCAGCTCGCCTGCAAACGCTGGGAAAAAAAAAAACGTCTTTGTATGATGAATCGTGTTTGCAGCACGGAGTGCGTGTGTGTGCGTGTGTGTGTGTGTGTGTGTGTGTGTGTGTGTGTGTGTGTGTCTTCAGGGGGCAACTGAAGGAGTTGAGACGGTGGGGAGAGACAAAATGGAGGACATAACTTGCTGTGCACGTCTTTGCTCAACATGTGGGGCCCCTGAGTATCGACTCTCTTATGTAAACACGCATTGATTCTGCTGCGTTTCGCATTTTGGATGCCGTACAATAAGCTCTCCCTAGGGGGCCTGTGGGCTCGTTGCCTTGTGACACGAACGCACGCAGACAAACACACACACACACACACACACACACACACACACACACACACACACACACACACACACACACAGACATTATCACTGCACTCATTCATATAATCACCCTCCCGATTGCAACACTTTTCGAGAGTACTCATGCTTCTCACTATGGTACAAATCCACGCACTGTCAACAAAAAAAAAGACAGACTCTACTAAAAGTCGCTCTCATTTAACTCCTTTACTTAAAGGTACAGTTTGCAGCAATTAAAAAAAAAAAAAAAAACTGTCTGCGTGACGTACCAGTCGAATATGAATTCTACGTGCATGTAACTTTAAAAAACAGTTGTGTGTTTTTTGAAATAAATCAATAAATAAGAATGAAGCATTTGGAGCTGGCAAGTGTCCAATGACCAGCCCCTTTTGCTGCCCAAAATGGTATGAACACTTCTTTTGCAATTGACCCTCCAGCCCCCCGCCCATTCCCCCCACCGCCCCCAAAATTCAGTCCTGCAAACAAACAGTCCCTCTCCGAAAATGGAGAGGCGTGGAAATGATCCCAGAAAAAAAAAAAGAAATCAAAAAGCAGGAAAGTAAAGTTCACGAGGTTGCGAATCTGCGGCTGCCGAATGACGAGTGCGCGCGGGTCAATGGATCGAATGAATGGCACCAAATATCTGCCTTCTTGTTTGCACTCATTCATCTCCTTTTCTCGTTTGATCCGAAGACGCATCTTTCACAAGTTTTGCCACCGGGAATCTCAAAGCCGCCATGCATACGTGACCATGGTTGAAATGCAAGCTCACGAGCTCTTCTTCCTTCATTGCAGATTGTGGCCTATCAGCCGTACAACAAAGCGGCGGACTGGTGGTCTTATGGAGTGTTGCTCTACGAAATGTTGGCGGGACAGGTAGCAATCACCCTTCTCCGGCGCCCCATTTCTTTTTGGGGTCATTCTTCTTCTCCATAAAGAATCCCATTTTTGAGGGCCTAAACGTAAACAAAAACTCGCCCGACTTTGCACACACATCGGGCCTGGTGAAAAAGTCGACCGTAATATATTTGAAACTCTCCATACCCAAATACAAAAAAAAGGGGGGTCTCAAGCTCCCCCAACAGAGGTTGAATTTCACTTCATTTATTCATTTTTCTTTTTTTTTTTCAGCCGCCTTTTGATGGCATTGACGAGGAGGAGCTTTTCCAGTCCATCATGGAACAGTGCGTTTCCTACCCCAAGAGTCTCTCCCGCGAAGCCGTCGCCATCTGCAAGGGGGTGCGTACGCCACATGCGTGATGTCAAACTGTCAAGAGATGTCAATCGGACTTTGGGCGCTTGCCGGTCGATGCAGTCGAACCTCCTTTTCAACTATGTTTTCGCCCCTTTAACGTTCACACTTCCAAGTTCCGATTTTTGCTTACAACGAACACCTTGATAAAGTCAACTTGATTATAACAACCAGATTTTTCCCACAAAAAAACGCCTTCGTTACGGCCAACCGTGGGAAGCCAACCGCGCGTCTTGAATCCGAGAAGGCGGCCATTTTCATTTGCTGACTGAATGTTGTCAGAGATGGAGGAGCGCGACACTTTTTTGTTTGTCTCATGTCGGAGAAAAATCCTTTTTTTCTTCCACTACACGTATTTGGAATTGACATGTTTATATTGCATTCCATGCTCATGTTTTTACATCTATAAATGTTCGTACTGTATTATTGGTTGGCGGCCACTGTTCTTGGAAATGGTCCCAACGAACTATGGTTGGAGCGCACGGATTCGTGATGTCCCTTGAGGTGCGTTGTCACGAGGTTCGACTGTATTGTCGCAGCGTATGTTGTCTCGCCGTCAGCCCATTAGGGAAGCAGAAAATGGATATTTCTGTGTTGATCTTTTGTGGGGGGGTTTTTTTTGTTTTGTTTTAACTTAAGCTGCTGACAAAGCACCCCGCCAAGCGCCTAGGTGGAGGAGAGGACGCCGAACGCGAGATCAGGGAGCATCCGTTCTTCCGCTGGATCGACTGGGACCGTCTGGAGAGGCTGGAGATCCCGCCGCCTTTCATCCCCAGATCGGTCAGTCCACCACACGGGAGCTTTTCAAATTTTAAATTTTTCTCAGTGTATTTTATTTGAGAGTCAATTCAAGTTTTTTTCATTTTCCGACCTGTAATACAGATAGGAAAATTGAATTAAATCCACTGTGAATCCCCTGCTGAATGGAGAAAAGGTCCTTAACAAATGGCTAAATTAGCCCTCAAAAGTCCTTAAAATGGGTAAATTGGCCCTCAAAGTCCTTAAAGGTCCTTAAATAAAGTGCGCGAAAGGGTGGGAGCCTTGTCTCTTGGCTGCACGGGTTTGCTTCTGTCTAAGTGGATGTTCGATTTATTTGTATTATTTTTTTTTCGTCTAACCAGATTTCAGCCTCTGTTGCCATGTCAATCAAATCTGCCCAGGAATGAATGAATGTCATCGCCATATTTTCCGTCCTCTCGGTTGCTCAGAGCAAAACTGTTCAACGAGCAAAACTCTTTCCCAATTGATGTTATTCTGCACAGTAAATGGTAGCAAGGACTTCCCAGACGCAATCCACATCTTCGTACCCCCATGTTCACGTCGCAGTTATCGAACTCATCAATGCTGCAAAAAAAAAAAAAAAAAAACTCCCCACTTTGGCCCGCAGCTGTTCGCAATCGCTCCGGAGCATTTTTTTTTTTTTCAAATTCAAATAAAATACATTGTTACTGTACTGGCCTGCGCCGCTGATTCTGAGGGACCCAGCCGGGCGGATTGGACGGACACGGCGACATGCAGGGGCTGAAATCTGATTGGACCAAAAGAAAACGTATCATCCACCCGTACCGGAAGCTGTACGCACAAGAGCAACAGCGCGAAATGAAGACAAAAGAGCGTCGGCACTGAAGGAAGACGATTCCTTTTGGTGGGCTGCTGCGATTTCCGCGTCGCACCGAATCCTCTGCTGGCTCCCAACAGGGCGGCAGAAAAGGGGAAAACTTCGACAAGTTCTTCACGGCGGCCCCGTCGGCGCTCACTCCCTCGGACCCGGACGTGCTGGCGGCTGTCAACCAGGAGGACTTCCAGGGCTTCTCCTTCCTCAACCCAGAGTTTGCCCCCTCGCCACTCACCGCGGTCTAAAAATAACCTCGCCAAGCGGGCCGATCGTCGGGGTCGATGCTGCCGGCTCTCGCGACTCCGTCCGACGAGCGGGGCTCTCGCGTATTTCATCCAACTTGACAGATTCAAGTAGGCCGACATTAGGGATAGATAGCCAGTGTTGTAGAACCCCGCGGAAGAGTCGTTCGGGGGAAATAGCTATCTGACTTCATCATTTAGCATGCGGACTGTGTAGTTGTTTTGTTTTTTTCCATCGAGGTTCCCAGAAGTATATCGAGCTGTTGTTCCACTGCATGTAGACAGCAGATTTATTGCAATTAGAGACTCGGTTAGCACTTGACAAAAGTTGCCCCTGCTGCACCGAGGCTGAAGACCAGATGGCATGAAGGTTCTTTCGATGACAGACACGGTGAAAGTTCATTCCTGCGTCATTCTCCGCATTTTTGACACCACCCCCCACAAAAAAAAAAAAAAACGAATATTTACTGATTGGACACTTTAGGAAAGCTTCACTGAGATCGTTTGCATATTTTCTTCTTTTGGTGTCAGAAGGGTCGTGAAAACGACAAATGTCATGGTGGACTTTTTAACTTGCGGAAAGCCTCACGACAGCTTTGCCAAATTTCTCCATCATGCCAATGTGGCCATTTTTTATTGTATTCATTTTTTGCTACTTTTGGATTTGTGATTGGATGTTTTTTTCACGATAGATGATTATTTCGGTCTTTTGGGGAGTGGGGGGCGTCAGGTGGAATCCTCCAAAATCATCACTTTGCAATAACAGCCACACGTGTGGACTGAAAAAAAAGAAAAGTTGGAAATTTACGGTTCTGGCCCAACTTCAGTGATTATTGTTGTTTGATTTATTTAATTTTGTTCTTATTGATTATTCATCGGTGTTTCATTTTAGTGTTATTTATTTAGTGTGGGTATTTTGTGACATTTTATTTCACTGAGTATATTATTTTTAATTTAAATTCAATTTAATTAAAAATATATGATTTATGTTTGTTTTTTCTTAATTTTCTATTTCAATTTTATTATTTATTACATTTTTAATTTGATTTCATTCTACTTTTTTTAATGAACTCTTAACTTTTAATGTTATGTTTTAATTGTATTTATGTGTCACAGATTTTTAGTTTTTTTTTTTCATTTTAAAATTTTATTTCATTTGAAGGAATTACTGATTATTTTGCTTTTTTTTTAAACATATTTGATGTTTTTCCTCATTAATTTTATTCCATTTTTTTAAATAATTTGATTTTTATGTTTTGGAATTTCTGCAATCTGATGTATTTAATTGTCGACAGACATTTCATTGAACTGCTCTGAGTCGTCATCCTCTGGGCTTGCTCGCCCTCCGAAACTGGCGTGTCTCTCTCTCTCTTTCTCTCTCTCTCTCTCTCTCTCTCTC